CCCCCCCCCCCCCCCCCCACCCACACACACACACACACACACACACACACTCTCGTTTGCACCAGATCTCATGATCTGTAATGTCGTCGGTGAGGTTGCTCTTTCTTTGACCTTGTTACTTCCGATTTGTGTCTAGATTTTGTGATTTGCTGCACTGCCAGTGTTTAGACTACAGGTTTCGAGGCTCATCTAGTGCATCCAGTATCTCACAACCGTCACGCGAGCAGAGCTAAACGCCCTTGCAAACAATCAGCACTGACATGTGATCAAGAAGCATCAAGAAGCGACATGTTGAGTGACCACCAGCTGGAATCTTTCCCCCGGTGCGTCCTTCTAGCAGGTATGTGTACACAGCATACTGGATGAGTCTTCGATGTCTTCGTTGGTCCAAGCCATCCAGTAGCCCTGGGGCCCCCTGCTTCACTTCACGCTCGGTATTGCTATTTAGCTGTTAGAGATCGGGACTACACACACGCGCACACACGCTGAAGTCTGGTTCACCTTGTACGCTGTTCAGGGAAGAGTCCTGCACCAGTTCCAGCACATGCATCAGCAGCAGGGCCTCGTTCAAGACTCCAACAAGAACAGAGCCTCCAACATTTCCAAGAGGACGCCGTGCTTCCTAGACCTTGAAATGACATTGAACGAGCTTCCTGAATCGCCTTGCTAGTCGACTAGGCAGCCCATGATAAATTCTGTGGCAACAGCTCTTGAACCTTGTTAAGGGCTTGCAGAGGGGTGCATGCCTTGCCCTAATTTCAAGGTTCTTTTCCCACAGGCACGCAGAATGATTTGCCAGGATCTATTTCACAAACTCTATTACCCGCTCCAGACCTCAAAACATGTGCGCTTCTAGACTAGTCTATGCTTCACGGTCAGCTCAATCATGCCCAATCTCTGCCCCGTTTCAGCCTGCAGTCGACTTCAGGCACTGTGTACGTGGAGCCAAACGAGGTCGTTGCATTGACCGATGAGCTCCTGGAAGGTCAAAAGGACGGCCACTTTAGATTCTCGCGGAGCTGCGCAGAGTCCAGCATGGACTTCAGTGCCAGGAACTGAAGCTGCTGGTTCGTCGCATTCTTGGGAGCCCTGTCATCATGTTGTTTTCACGATGCGTCTATCGTGATCTTTACAAACGGGCAACATGTCATCAGAAGATGTTCTGAATTCATCTGCACGGAAGGACAATGTCCCTGGCACTCTCCCATGCGGCGAAGGACATTCGGCGGTGCTTGGAGGCCAGGCATACCCGTCACCTGCATGTACTATCGAGTGCTATCCTGGTTCTGGTTGGAGGAGACATGTCCTGCTCTGATCCAGGCGGCGGCCCGCATTGACCTAGCGCGCGCGAAACTGTTTCTGGGCGAGGACATGGAAGGAGAGGTGGGATGCAGTCGTCTGACCTGTTCGCCAGGATTTTCTGAATTCAACAGACTTCTGGCAGGTGCCCAATGTTGGAGATGATGGGATCATAGAGGTGAAACAGGTCGTGTGGGTGAAATCCGAGCATCGATTCTATCCAGAACGTTCACAATCCGGGAGCTGGCAGGCAAGGAATCCCTGCCTCATACTGCGTGGTGGCAAGCGGGTGCGGGACCTGAACGCCTGACGTGATTTTCTCTGTGCTCATTTGCGTCGGCTCAGACTGCAAAGGTAGTAGGTTATCGCCTCGAGCCGCTGGCCCAGCAACAAAAAGCTCACAGAAGCCTTGCAGACATGTGTGCGTTGCCTCGTCATGGCAACTCTCGCCCATGCAGACTTCGTTTTCCGAGGCTAGGGAAGTCAAGCCAGGGACTACTCCTTACAGGCCCGAATGCCGGGGGCAAGACGGTCGTCCTGAAGACCTTGGGACTTCTCGCCCTGCTGGCCGGGCGCCCGGTCGAAAGCGGAGAGCCTTGTTGAGAGAGAAATAAGAGCCCAAGGCACGCTGTGGCATTCCGGTGCCAGCAGGAGAGTCTCCGCGAGTTGACTTCTTCGAGGTCTGCTGCAGCTTTGCTTCTTAGTGTCGTGGATCCGTGCACCGCACAGCTCGAGCGCATGTTCAGTTGGCCACGTATTCGTATTCAGTGCAGGTTGTCCTGGCAGATGTGGGTGACATGCAAACGATTGCTCACAGCCTGGATTGCCTTAACGCCTAAGCATCAAGTAGCATCCGTGACAACTTCTGCAGAAGTGCTTGGCGACTGAGGTTGATGACTTGTCAACTTACTCTGCACATCTCGTAGCGCTTTGTCCTGAGCTTGCAGAACGAGCAGCACCCTCCAGTTGCGGGTCTTCACCTTCAGCCCAGCAGGTCCCGCATCATGCTCTCGAGCGTCCGGGATGCCGGGCCACGAGCGATGGTTCTCGTGGATGAGGCGCGCGCGCGAAGGGGGCCAGGGAGTGGACGGGCGCAGAGGAGCAGAGCAGAGCAGAGAGTTTTTCCTCTCGTCCGAGGCCGGGACTGGAACGGATCCCCAACAGGGAGCAGCTCTGGCCCGAGCCATGCTGGAGGCGCTCCCATCGCACAATGAATCGATCCTGTGGGACGGGCGATGACCCAGCAAGGATGCTAGCTTCCAGAGTTCGTTTCCAGGCTTCTTCGTGGAGTTTCGGACGCGTGCGAAAAGCTAGCTCCGTTGGAGCTTGCGGGAGTTGTTGTTCAAAAACTTGGGTTTTGCGTCATGCGAGTTTAGGGGGCCCTTGCTCCTGATATATCAGGCTTGAGCGTCACGGGGGGCTTGTTCCCTGATCAATTCGGAAGGCTGCTCTTTCGATGAAGGGGCCCCACTGTCCCGTCCTTGAGGTCCTCCCTCCCCCTCAAGGAGTCATTACAGAGCAGAACCGCTGTTAGGCAACACAGCCGCAGTGTACATCTGCAAACTGAAGACAGCAGCCTTGCCTAAGACGGTTCTGCGTTCACCGCAGGATACCGCAGGTTTCTTTTCCGATTCCTAGTCGACAAGCATAAGCATCGACGAGTCTGCAACACGGCATACAAGGAGCACTCCATCCTTCACATTCGCTTAAGCCGAAGGCGGCTCGCTATACACAACCGAGAGGCAACAAGAGCCAGCGAAGGGTCAAATGCCAATCCCCTCAAACACAAGTCTCACGGTCACCAGAGCCCGAAGCCCGCATTTTCGTGTAAAGCCTTTGAAGGAGAGACAGGCATTCGAAGACCGAGCTCTGAGCTGGTCGTTGAATTTCGTCGAAGGTGCAGTGAGACCTCCGCGACGAAACGGCATGTAAGCAGGCCCACCACAAGATTGTTCATTCGGAGGCCCGGAAGGAAAGCCGCGGTCGTGAAAACCTAACGAACCCAACACAAAGAGTAGTGGCTTCGTCCCTTGTGGCATGAAAGCATGAAGATCATCAGTGGCGACATGCGGCTCGCAAGTGTCAACACATTCGCCGAGCACCGCCGACGAGGCTCCCCAAGAAGCTCTCAACCCCTGTGCACTGAACTCCTGGATTCAAGACTGAGTCCAACGCCGAGCCCTCGCGGCATTTCTGCCGTTATCCAACTCCCTGGCATCCTCTGCTAAGTATTGCTGGATTTCGGTTCGCGCATGTGGCGGTTTGAGCAGGCTTTTTGTTGCACTGCTAAGCTGGGGGTGCTGGGAGTAAGCGCTTTTTCAGCCCGGCTGGCCCTTCCATTCAGCGGACTTACCAGGGCTTGAACCTGATGTAAACATCGCGAGCCACAGAATCTCAAGAAGAACCAAGCATCCGGCACCCACGATGCGGGCATTTGTCCAGGCATTTCTGGAATCGGGCGCTCGTGTCGTTGCGACAACGACTCTTGGCACCATACAGCAGACGGTCAGATGGTCTGAAAGGCTATAAGGCTACCGCTTCCAAAGCGTGACGATTGAGGCACTGCGTTCAGCTCAAGAACTGGGCCACGGAGGTCAACGGTGCATTCCACGTCTCCAGTCTTGTTGCCAGCGCTCGATGTGCGAGTGCCTGCAGCCACGAGCATGTGCGATTCTCTGGACGGAGATCACGGCGACACGGGAAAGACATGAAAGTCCGGGCAACAAGGAAGACTTCACGAGGCTCAGCTTTGTCCAGCATACTGCACTTCACATGAAAAGAGTGGAATTATCCTTCTAACAACCTTCGGCACGGCAAGAAACGTTCGATGGATGTCGCCGGCGTCCAGTTCCGAGCCTAGAGTTTAGTGATTGACTCCCTGTTCCACTAAGCCGTGCGCAACTGTCGGTGGCTCAGTTCAGTAGGCCGCAATGCACATCGAGATGCATTGAGGCTTCAGGAAATTGGTGCACAGGATGGCTGGCCACGATTGCTGACAGCCGAGGAGGCAAGAATTGACATGAGCTGTTCTTGCAGAGCCTTGCTTCTGACAGCGCTTTCATGTGCTGTCGCTGGAAGGTTGCTGCGATCCTGGCCATTCCAGGGAATGATTCTTGCACCGAGCTTACTTGGGAGCACAAAAAACAAGCGTCAAGTAAGTGCCTTAAGCATGAAAGAGTTGTTGCCCTCGCCCGCCCCATCCGCACGAGGAGGCAAGTGCCGTGCGAAATGTCAGGTCGACCCCCTATCAAGACAATTTCTTCGCATCGCCTAGTTTGAGACCAATCTTACTAAGATTCTCTGTTTACCCCCTTCATTGATGAAACTGCTGCCAACACAAAGCTTTCCGTATTGTGGGCCGTAAGCCTGAAGCATCTGTGGATTGAAGATCTGTGTTTCAGAAGGGTGATCCTGAGATTGCGACGCCTGGTCGTTGCCCAGACACTCCTCAGCTGAACGCTAGCTTTCGTAGGATTCAGCAAGGTTTTCGGCTTCCATCAGAGACGTCGTCTCAGGTACATGTGAATTGAAGGCTCTGTGAGTTTGCACGGTGCAAGATGGGCTTCGATATTACCTTAGCCCCGCAACGCGGACTAGGTTGGTCTATTCTGCCGCGTGGCATGCTTGCCAAAGGCGTTTCACCTTGCACCTGCGCTGTTTTGTGTGGTCAGAAGCATAAATGCCCTGTGGGCCCATGGAGTTTCCTGGACTTGGTTTGCAAGTGTTCTCGATGTCCGGAGCCTTGCCACTTGCGTGGCAACAATTTCTCTCACCGCCAGTCAAGGTGCAGACTGCTGCGGAGGCCCTCCTCCAAGCTGGGCATCTGTAACGTTTGGCGTGGTGCTTTGCTCACATGCAGCAGGACCGATGGGTTGTCCGAAGGCGCAGCTTGCTTCATTACTTGGTTAAGTGTTGTCCCTTTGTCCAGGGGGGCGCCCAAAGCTTTGGGTGCTCACCCACACGCCAAGGGCACATTGGATTGACATGTGACGTGTGCAGCTTGAGGGGAATGGCTTTTTGTGCCATTTGGCGGAGGTGGCCCCGTGCATGCTGCCGGTGCGTGATGTGCGCGAGTGTGGTGGACTCTAGAGTAACTA